TTAGAAGCGTTCCATCATACTAGGCGAGATTGAGGTAATACTGCCAGCTATGGGCCATTATATGTAGGAGTTAGACTGGATCCATTTCTGGGATACGCCTCCTCATTTAACTTCCATTCGGGATGGTATTGGTGTATCGAATGCGTATGTTGTCTAGAAGTGGCCAGCTGATGTACAAGCCAGTGCTTCTAACCTCCCAGACGGATCTGGTACAAATAACCGACCCCGGGTTAGACAAATATCGATTGGTCGCGGAAGGATGGAAGGGTTGGTTGGGGATGGTGTGCTGATGTACCAAATGTACTAGTTTTTTGTTAATTTCCTAGATCTTACTACTATTACTATGCCATTACATACCGTACCCATGGGAACTGAAATAATCAGAAAAAAATAAAATGTAAGAAAACTCAGTACCATAAATTCTTACCACATCACTAGGTACACGTTTCCGCTGTCCGCCGTTGGTAAGCATAGCTTGCTGAAAGTAATCGATAGACCAAAATGACTTTACATAATCAATACAATGTTGATTGGAAAAATGATTAATCTCTGGATTTGATGTATTTTATAAGCGGTATCTCTGAAAAACAATAAACTAAATATTTTTACCCAGAGAAAAAACGATTGGCAGACGCTTTTTAAAGACAAGGTATAAGAAGAGTACATGGGCGGGGCGAAGAAACGCTATAGTTGACAAATGTCTCAATCACGTTAGCTGTTCGCTTCTTTTTTGAGACAAATGTCAATCAAAGGGAATCAGCCCACGTTGCCTTCACCCCTACGCACGTCATTTACACTGTCTTCCCTTACAGAAAAGCGATTTGAGGAAATGCTCCTGAAAATCTTATTCCTTCCAGGAGGGCTGTATACTCAGGCGTACGCTTCAGATTCGGTTTTCCATATGACTATCCAACTGAAAAGGGTAATCGAACGGTAGAAAAGTCCATATTAGGGGTGATCGCTGCGAAATGGGGGGCTGGAAGGGGAAGGGGGTAAATACCTCGAAAAGAAGATGTCCTTAGAGGAACATGTTCATCCAAGTCGAGGAATTTTTGGAATTTTTTGAAAAAGTCAAATTCATCCCCGCTTAATCTTTTTATTCGACTAGAAATAGAGCGGTGCACCTCGGAAATTCGAACCTCCACGAAAAACCTCACCTTTTCCGTCATCCTGAGCTGCAAATTGACGTAACACTTCTTTGAAAAGTTGAGAGCACAGAGTCAAAGATCGACTGACCACGGGAAATCCTAGCAACAGGTGAACACGCATACAAATTCTACCATTTCAATTGAAAATCGAGGACATGGCGCATAGCAGAATCAGAGAAAGGAAAGTACAAAGGTATTCTTACGTTCAAGAAGGAGAGAAAACTGAAATGAACTGAATCGAGACCATCATCAAATAGTTAAGGTCTATGAAGAGTACAGATGAGTAAGATTCTGTGATTCAGCTGGGTAACGCAGACCCAGTTGAACTCCTGCAACGAAAACTACCCAGTCGATTACCGTAGCTATTATAGATAACGACCAATAAGGGGAATATGACGTGACACACGATTGATTACAGTAATCTTACTGTAAATCACAAATGTCTATTAAAATGGCTATGAGAAGGGTTAAAAGACGACCTGTAGAGAAGAAATCTGTGCCACCGGGCATTATCGGCTTCCATCGCTCAGATTGGTTGAGGGCGGACATGATAAAGTGTGCTGCAGAACTGCTGGCAGATAGCTTTTTGATGAATCACATTGATCCAAGATTAAGGTGGACAGGACCAGAAATCGGTTCGAGTTCAACTTCAATCGAAAATTCGGGTGAACGAATGGATGATGAAGCGATTGCAAGGGGAGAGTCAAGGAAACACATGGAACAGCTTAATTACAACAAAAGAATTTCAGCTGTTCCATGTGTCCCACAGGAATGAGCTTTTCTAGTGCAGAAGTCTTTAGAATTGAGCCACATTGTGTGAGCGGTATAACAAAAACGAATAATGTTAACAGCTGCTTGGAAGTTGGTAGACGAACGACTTTTTTGCCGTCAATCGAATCCGCGGCTATTTTTGGCTAGTTGTCTCGAGACTGGTTAGTTACGCCCCCTCTTTGTCCAAGCCTAACACAAGGCGATAACCAATCAGAGACTATTCAGCTGGGTGGGAGGGGAGCAAATGGGAAAGGGGACCTTCAGTGCGCAGCCGAAGCGACTCAACTTATTCTATCTTCTTTATACCCAGATTTTTTTATTTGAAATCTATCATAGCCACACTAACTCTTTTCCGTTACAATAAAAGTACTCTTTAAAGCAAATTATAATAAATGAATTTCAACTGAATCATAAAAATGTTCAAAACCTCGCTGACATTCTCAGAACTCACCTCGTCGATCCGATTTTCGCTTTCTAAAATGTGGATAAGGTGGCCTTGCTCATAGATGAGACGTTGTTTCGCTTGTATTTCCTCCTCAAGCTGTTCGATAACGTGCTCCCGCATTTTGACCTCAAAAATGGGCACTTCTGTCAATGGAATTCGTATCTTTGGATAAAAAGTGTAGTATTTGCGGAACAGTTCACTTTTATTTGTTATGGCAATGATTTTCGAGGAAGAAGAGGGTCAGTGTAAAGATGCGCAACTTTTACATTTACGGTACTGGATGGAAATCCTGATTAGTTAACAGTACGGACTAAAAAACCCTTTGAGGGCGTAGAACTAGTGTCTAATCCGCTTAGGCGGAACGGATTGTGAAGCAGACTGGCCGCTCGTGTCGTTGTATAGGGCTCAGTATACATTCGACAGACTCTACGGAGATGGCGATTACATGGCCCACTCCTGAGTAGGGTTCTATAATCCCACACTGGCTCTACAGTCTCGCCTAGATGATGTTGATAATGCAAGGTATTTCAGCCACGATTTTTCCGTATTCGGGTATATATTTCAACATTGATCAAATATTATCAAAATTCCAAGTAGGTGGGGGACCCCTGGCCCGCGCTCATTCTCTACGAGCACCCATTAGACCCACACCCTAGAAGCATGCGCATATCCATGTGATTGGTAGATGCCCTCTTCTCCCCAAATCGGTAACACGGGATGCAAGTAGGAGAACAGAAGCCGCTGCGCTCTTGAAGCAAGTGCACGTACGTGCTAGAAAGGAGTTCGCAAGAAAATACGAAATATTAGACATCACAGGTGTGGTGTTGATCGATAAGTGGGAAAAGCCAACTCAGAAAGGAAGTTCCTGACATGATCATTTGGGCTTATCACAAGGGGAGATCTCCCGATTCAAGCCGAAGGCGTAACGAGTGGGGATCGAAGCAGGATCCTCTCTAGACACTTTTTTTCTCAAAGAAAACCCACTTGACAGTTGTACGAGCTTTGAAGGGAAACATAGGTCTACATCACCAGCCTCATTTTTCGGTGTGGGTTTTTCACCCACAAGGCATATATCTCGGACATATGGGAAAAGCTTGACGAACAGCTATCTTTGCATTATATTACACTAGGAACATGTGGACACATTAATCACAAACCAGCCCTCAAAATCATGCGAACATTAAAGAGATCGTTGGAATTTCTTCATACTCGGCTTGTATTTATAGTAGCAGCTTTGTAAAAATCGATAAACCCCTCCATCAAGTACACCAAATCTTTCATGAGAACTGCCATTTTTACTTCCAGAACCTTTTACTCGATTAAAAGTGCCTATTGAGGAAGCAAATAGGTCCTCACTTTTACTATGTCCATATGTCATGTCCATAACACTCGTCTAGCAGCCAGAAGCGATCTCTGGGATGAGATCTGCCCCTGTCGTGCCACTCTAGGGATTTAAGCTTTTGGCATAGGAAGGGTGAAAAGTCACCGTTAAGATTTGGTTTCGAGCTTTGGAAAAAGGTCTAATGATTGAAATGGAGGAGCGACTGGGCATGTTTATTTCATTTTGACTTTTTTTGAGTTTTTTCCTTTTTCGAGGACAATTTGGCTCCTCCACTGGAATTATCACTATGAATTGCATATGTCTGGAGCTGATTGACCTTCACTAAGCTTTAAAAATGACTCTATTTACATATGAAGGCCAGTTTTTAAGTTTTCAAGATGGAATCACGCTGGAGCTACCTAAAATTAGGGTGGTTTGATCGGAAAGGGCCCTGAGAACCAGACGGGGGAAAAGGCCCAACAATTAGGCAGTCAAAAATAAAATACCCAAGTTATATTAAAAAGGGCGAAAAGTCAAGCTCGATCAAATTTACTCGTGAAATGATGAAAAAAATAGTAAAAATGGGAATTTGAGGAAAGTTCTCTTTGGCACCTCAGTTCAACAATGTGAACGAAATTCACAGAAGAAACAAATAAATTTCTATGAAGAGAACGAAATGACGACATAATTAGTCATGTAATGAGTAAATAAAATAAGAGCAAACGCTCGAGAAGGGTTAGGAGAGGAAATCATCGGAGAGTGTAACGTAATGTAACGTAAACGTCCAAGAAAAGTCGTGAAAGGTATCCTTTGAAAAGTGTAGGGGGCACAATTCATTCATAGGGTTGAGAGACACTAACAACCATCAAATCCAAGTTAAATTCATAGATCTCAAGTTGCATAGTGAACGGCCAGAGAGAGAGGAACGGCATTGGAGAGAAGCAGCCGTGTGGCGGCAACGGAATGTGCCATAAGTTCAGTCGTCAACGGAGGCCGAACGTTGAACGTTCGGTATTTCAGCGCTCGTTTTTCGGGTACTCAGGTAGTGGTAAAGTTTTGAAGTAGATTAATTAGGGACATTCGGGAAAAGGGCAACCAGCTCGAAGAAACTTACTTTCTCATGAGTGTGAACCAGTTGTGTTTCCAACGTGGACAGCCGAATCAGTATGTCGGAAGACATGATATCTGAAATTAATATAAAAATTCTGATTGACCGATATTTTTCCAAACCAAAACCTTTATATCTCTTTAGAAATTTGTCTGATAAGTGTCAGTAAACTAATGTAAAATTGGTGTTCACTTAATTCCCAAGAAACTGAATTAACGAAAAGGCACTACGGTAAACTCTCAAGCGAGGAAATGTAGTACAATGACTGAAAAATCGTGAAAAAAACAGAGTTTAAAAAAAAATCGGAAAATTGTATAAGTTTCCTTAAGGGACAAAAAAATAGAAATCTTCAGGGTCGCTGAACCTTTGAAAAGCACTTCAAGAAGTACAAAAAAAAAAGGAATTCTGTTCCAATCTCTTCAAAACATTGCCATTAAAAATTCTGACCGGCAGTGGGCAAGTCAATCAGTAAAGAAAGGTAAACATTCTAATAGAATCCCAAAGTGATGTCACAAACTTGTTTGAAAATGACGCTTTTTAATCACTTCTCACAGGAGTAACGCCTGCTTTGGAGTAAGAACGCCCTGAGGAGTCTCAAAAGGAATATTTAAGATTTTCCATCCATCCCAGGAAAATTATTCTAAAGAAATCAGAAATATCCCCTGATGAACAATATCCCTTCCTGAGTAGGGGGCAAAAGGGGGAAGATGCTCTGTAGAAGAAATGGGAATGTGAAAGAAGCATTGAGGAGCTAAAGAGCACATTACACTTCTGGACGTTCGACACAGTACTTCTTGAAAGCTGTAAAGCCGAAAGAAAAATCTTTCTTACGGCTCTCCCTAGAGTAAAGCAAATAAATGAGGAATAGAGCAAATAAAGAGCGATTTGTAAGAGAAAAGGGATCTAAGGGAGAGTTAAATCTCAGAAGGATTTAGTACAAAACAATGCCTTTGGCAAAAAATTCCTCTATTCATGAACAGAGAAATCGAGCAAAAAAAGGACTAAATAAGAGCTCATAGAAGAATAAAGAATAATGGAAAACAAGAAATCATGTAAGCTAAGACTGTAGGATAGTACTAGGTAATTAAAAAGAAAAAGTTTCAAAAGTAGGCATAGGTACGGACCCGACACCGAATGTTTTGTTCACGTCTCATCTTTATAACGTGATTAGAAACTTCAAACTACTCTTCCAACTTCTTGAATTTTTATCTACAGTTCTATGGTTAATCCGCACAGTACATTTACGAGATGGACCGAAAGGTGGTGTCATAGCAAATAGAGCTTGGCCCACATATCTCTGAGCCCAAAGTCTAGCCGTAGGCATTTTTTGTTCGAAGTTCTGATTTTTCGTGGACGACATGGAGCGGCTTATCAGTCACCTTGAAGTGGCTATCAAAGAAAAGATTCAGAGTAACAGGCATCAGCTTTCTGAGTCTTTTCCAGTAAACATTTTAGAATTTGGAACTACTCCAATATACATTTCTACGTGGATGTATGAAATAAGATAAGAAAATGAGAAAATGAAAAAAAGGAAAAATTACGAAATAGAAGTGATGGAAGCACTCAAGTGTTGTTCTCACGGATATCAAGGAATAGTTCGTGAACAAGTAATAGGAAACACTCAACGAGATATTTAAAACGCATCGAAATTAAGCATCACAATGTTTTCCGGAATGGTATCAAGAAATCCCTTGCAATCATTTCAGAGGCTCTGAGTCGTAGAAGGAAAAGGTACAGACATTCATTAAAACTTTGCAAAGAAATTTGAAAATCTGAAAATCAAGGCAAATCCATTCCGAAAATTTCGATGGAATTTTTNTTTTTGTGGAATTCCTAACAGCGCCACGGTACTCGAATAAGTTGTGGATTGGAGAAAAACGCTATAGCTTTAGCACTTTCTTCAAGCAAATAGAGGGGTTCGTGCTTGCACTTTTGAATTCTAGCCCTTCGAAGAACTAGTCTAGTTCCACTCGATTTTTTTCTGTACTTAGTATCTTATGGCTAAGTGGTCTAACCAAGATGTAGTAAACTCCGAAAGTGTCCGCCTTCTCTAACAGACATCACTCTGACGGGGAAGCTAACAAGAAGTAATTCAAGGCGATAGTTACTGGATGTATTATAGATGAAAAGGGGCTGTAAAGGTGGTGAGCGGGCTGTCAATGACGTCAAAGATTGAAAAATCGGTCGGGAACCTGCGCAATACGGTCATCGCTTTTGCAATTGATTCTTAGGAATTCACGAGATGAATGAAAAGATTTGGGTGACTGGACAAGGTCTCACGTACTAATGTCACCAAAGCCATCCGAACAGGGAACAGAGGGAATCTCCCATCGCTGCTTACTAGACGTTGAATACTACAACCTGTGCCCACAAGCTGTTAAACCACCTACCTGCACCTGACCTGCCTCTTCTGTGGGCACTTAGGGTCCCAACTGCCTCTGATAAACCGTGGATCTGTGAGAGCCCTCATATTTGATACTCGTGTACTACTCGGATAGTTGATTCAGTTTCTCGGATAAGTCAATTTTTCCAAAGTGAATTTTGAGAAACCTCCTCAGAGCGATCTAACTTTGGATGTAAAGCTTCACTGTCACAAAGATGGACCCCATACCGCTTTGATCCATGCAGTGGATCCACATACCAGGCTTCAAGGAAACTTCGAAAGAGCGCAACAAATAAAAGGACTTCCATGTTGACCACCCCTTTTTTTCGAGTACTCCCACTCGTTCAACGTCTATTTGGTGTCGCAGTTGAATACATATTCGGTTCATAGAATAATTTTCAGGATCAGCTGCTCATGTCAGAAGTCTTATTATCTCAGACAAACATTTTATCTGATACTGACTCCGGACTGATGGGCAATTCGGTTAAATTCCATCATTAGGTTCGGACTCGAAGGTGCCAGTACATTCTCGAGTCCGAAACTATCGATGACATTCTGAAACCGAAGAGATGGTTGTTGGCTCTCTTAGTTAGGAGCATAAATTACGGAGACCTCACAATTTGTGAGAATAGAACAAGTGGTATGGGAAAGTTAACAGAAGCTACGAAAGATCGCGGTTGATATAGGATTGGTAAAGCCAAATTTGTGGCTTTCCTTAGAAGGGGCAGGTCATCACCGGACGAAATGCTCATTTCATTGCCAGTATTATTACTTTGACTTGATGTTTTGTTAACTGCTGTTATTTCGCTGAAAGTCACACAAGATTGGCGATTTATGAGACAAACTTCAGTCTCGGACGGGACTCGAACCCGTAGTTGTGCTTTACGGGCGCACATACGGGTTTGATTCCTGTGCCCGGAAAGCACGAGTAGGGGTCCAAGACTGTCCGAGACTGAAGTTTTGTCCATAAATCGCCAACCTTGTGAGTATTTTTACATTTACGCTCGAACAGAGGTGGTTTAATTGATCATACTACTTCCGTCCAGGGTCAAATCTGTGAGGTGACTCTAATGCTCTCTGCTATTTCGAAAAATCATAAGAAATGAATGATAACTCCTCGGTTCAGCGAAAAATATGCACCAGTTTAATAGTGACTCGCTGCATCAATAATTACATGGCGAATAAACATTCAAATATTTATGAATTTAGAACAACTTATTATAAAAATGAACATACAAGTAAGTAAATAATCAATCGGTTGCTTTATTTGATGATTTTAAATGCATCTTTTCAGTTAATGAATAACTAGATTCATAACTAGATTCAAGAAAGTAGAAAAAAGCCCACCAAAACTAATCCGAAAAAAATTCGAGTCAAAGTGAGTGAGTTGTTTAGATTTCGCTGATTTTTGGGACTTTTTAATTTTTGGGGTTCGACCTGAATTCATCTAATTAAAATCCATTTCAAAGGAGCTAATTTTGCATTTCTGGATGGACCAAAGAATTCTCCAGGCTCTCGGAACGCTACAAGGGTTCATAAACTTTCAACGTCATCGCATTATACGACAAGGAAGACGGATTACACCAAACATTTGACAGCTGACTAGTTTGGCAAAGTTTGACGGAGCGGGGATGTTCTCGTGAGTTATGGCCGGAACATCGGTCTTCGGACCCGTAAAACTGGCCCTCGGCATTCGTGGGAAGTGCATGCTTGATCGAGTTTGGGTGAAAAATATGAAGAAATGGATCGGTTAGTAGTCCGTCAAAGGAATGCGCCGTGGATCTGTTGAACAACTTTCTCAAGGGGTTTTTGTAGTTGACTTTCGCTCTCGCATTTTCTCCTTCTCCTCTCAACCTCCCACCCCCCCCCCCCTTCATGCTGGCCCCTCCGTTCCCGTTTGTCGATTCCTTATCGCGACCAATGTTGACACATTTACTGGAGGTTGGATAGGTGTAGGTAGGAGGGAATCCTATTTCGTGGAATAATTTAGATAATGGCATGAGGGAAGAAATCAAACTGGGAGCAACTTTTCAAGAGATGTCGGGGAGTGCTTCGAAGCCTGGCCAGGTATTCAGAATACGCCACGTACTTTTCTCACTCATCTGAAACAAATAACGAGAGAGGGAACTGTATGATGTCGTAATATTTCACATAGAGAGCGAATAGGAGCAATTGACCAAACTGAACATAATCACTGGGAAAAGTAATGCACCTCCCACTTACAAACTCGACCACCTAATGCTATAATTGTTTTCAAAAAGCGACATTTTGGTATAAACATTCGTCATCCACGTCTTTGAGCTCAATAAATACCATACTATTCGCTTTCTTGACTAGAAAACTACTTTACCCAACAATCACCATCATTCTAGTTAATACCGAACAGGTTTGAGCCAATACCTTTGGGTGCATTTTTCAAAGGAGCTCCAGAGAAGGCACGATTCAGCCTCAACGAAACGACAACGATGAGTGGTAGTACTGTAGAATTGTCATAGCAACAGTTCAAAGTATAAAGTAACTCCTGGATATGGTCACAGCAGAATAATTTGGTCGCCAGTCCCCACGGGGTGTTGCAATCCGCTCCAGAGAAACTATCTTCAGTTTCGGCCCCATGTCAGGATCAGGCTCAATTACTTTTTGATATGCAGGACCAACTATGTCGAGAGGGGAAAAGTAAATACTGTAAAAG